AAATGAATTTGTTAGCATTTATGATCTGATAAATGAATCTGTTAGCATTTATGATCTGATAAATGAATCTGTTAGCATTTATGATCTGATAAATAATCTGTTTATAATCCGATGTTAAAGAAATAGGGTAAAAATAAAATATTTCTATGTTTTATTTTTTTTTTGTATATTTTCATTCATTATCTAACATTTTATGCTAATATATCATTTATTTCTCATCCATTCCATACCATCAATTAGTGATAGATCAGTCTTGGAAAAACAATTATCATCATCATCATCCTTACCTTAGCTAATTCTGATTTACTTTTTTTTCTGATAAGCTTCTATTACAAACTTTACCTTTGTTGATTTAGATTAGATTTGGATAATTTTCGACTAAAATATATGTTTATGCTATGATTAATATTTCATTCAATGTAATATAATAATATAATTTAACCCTTAATTAGTTTACTTTAATACTATTACTAATCAAAAGTGTTAATAATATCATTATCACTATTATCATCGTCAAATTAATTCCATTAATGACTAACTTCAAAATTTTTGATAATATTTGCATGATTAAGTTGTTGAACAATAATTTTTTCACGTGGTAAAAAACGTACGATAAAATCAGAATTTGAACTGAAAATAGCTTTTTATTAAAATATGCAATGAAAAATATTAATCAAAAAGAAATTTAATTAATTAATCAATAAGTTAATTATAGCATACCTTGTATCGATAATTTTAAGTGCAACATTTTGCTTCATTTCATCATGCCATGCACATCTAACCGATGAAAATGTCCCCTTACCTGAAAAATGATATATAATATTGATTACCTGTAATAATTTCCAACTATAAAATTTTGCAAACTGTAATTTATCGCCTGATTTTTTCTTTTTTTTTTTGAATTTATTATTAATTTCAGCTAATTGCATAAAAATCACAAAATTTTAGCATTGAATTAAAAAATTTTTTTCGGTAAATTTTTAAATTATAAAATTAACAAAACTTTAATTAAATATTTCAAAAGTTCACGTTGAAAATGCACGCAAACCTATAATTTCTTTGTAATGAATTCCTTTTTCATGCAAAGATTTCAAAATTGTCACATTTGATGTGGCAGTTTCAGAATTATCCGACTCTGATTCTATTGCCATTTCTTTTCATACATTTCTTTTCCCGTATAACTTCAATAATATTTCCGCTACTTCATATTTCTTTTGTTAATTTTTATGAAATTTAAAAAAAAAGGGAAAGAACTGAAAGTGATAAAAATTGAAATTTGAAATTTCAACACCTTTTAAAATGATTTTCAAACAAATTTTTAAATTGTGTTAAAAATATTTGATAAAATTAAATTTCATTTTATTCAAATTCATTTCATCAATTCAAATTTGCCAACCATCAGTGCAAACAAATAACAGATTTGAAGAAAGGATTTGAACCAATATCAACCTTCCACACCAATGTATAATTACTAAAATGATCAATTATTTAATTCAGCGTACATTTTTATTTTGTTTTTAATCATTATGAAAAATTACAAAATTATAAATGTAACATTAAAATTAAATAAAAAATATTACTTACAAAAAACTTCAACCTTATCACATTAGCGCTTACTAATTGAGTTAATTAAGGCTTGAAAGATTAATTATTCGATTAAATTTATTCCGAGATTTTAGATTTTAAATTGAATTGTTTAGCACCAGTTCAATTCATCATTGATATGCCTAGCAATACCTTAGCATTTCAAAGGAACAATTATTTTGATGCTTTCTTTTTTCTTTTTTTTTTGAAACAAAAAATTTTTCATGTCATTTGAAATGTCACATCAAAAATTTATTTCAATTCATTTATTTAGTTTGAAAAAAAAAACTTTTTTTCCTTATTATAATTTTATATGAGAAAATATTATCAATTTTATGTCATCATTCTTTCATATATTTATTGCAATATCATAGTATGACATTATCGATTGACAACGGTTTCCCTTGACAACGCTTTCAATTTTGTGTCGTTTAATTTTGGTCGCAATTTTGCTTAGTTAAATGTTAAACCTTCGATCAGAATTTACTTATAAAATATCACATCATATTGTTCCTGGATGTGCACGATTTGGTATAATTGATGATACGGGACAATTACAACTTATTGTTGCAACAACAACAAATAAGGTTTGTTTGGAAATTATTGTTCATATTAAACAATAAACAAGATATCTTATCTTTACAACTTATTGTTGCAACAATAACAAATAAGGTTTGTGTGGAAATTATTGTTCATATTAAACAATAAACAACGATATCTTATCTATCTATTTATCAATTCCTTAATTTCATATTCGAAAGTAATATTTGAATAAAATATTCAATCCTATAATTAGTCATCATTTTGTTGTTGAATTTCAAAAATTTTAAATGTTTTTTTTTAATTTCAGGTTATCATTCATGATAATGAAATAGTTCTTAATATAAATGAAAAAATTCGAGCATTGGAAGTGACAACATTTGATAAGACATATGATGTGATTATTATTGGTACAGTATGTGGTGTATTAATTTATGATGCTTACAATAATACGACATTGATACAACGTGAGCTTGTTGATGGTGTCAACTGTATACAGGTACTAATTTAAGTATTTTAGGTGTGTTTTATCTGAGAAGACGTTTGGATGGTAATAAAAATGTACTAATTTAGATATATTCACCTAAGAAGACATGCATGAAAGAATTTTTTGGATGATCAGAAAATATATCAGAATATGAAATGATTTTTTTTTTGTAAATAAAAATTAAATATCTAATTAAATGATTTGAATTATCCATCTGTCAACTTTCACAAATTAATCTATGAATTACATTTTTGATAATACTTGCTATTTTAAAATCAAAAATATTTATACTGAAATTCTTATTTCTATTCAGTTTTTTTAAAATTTTCTCATTAGCTTAAAAAAATGCAATTTTAAAAGAATTTAAATTTTAGGTAGGAAAATTTAACACCCATGATAAGCTTATCTTTTGTGGTGGTAATTGTGCCATTTGGGGTTTAGATATTGAGGGAAAAGATGCCTTCTGGACTGTTACTGGTGATAATGTCTTATCATTATGCTTATCAGATATCGATAATGATGGTATTAATGAGGTATGAAACTTTCCATTGATTTCTTCGCTAAATTAGTATATTATAACACTTTAAACTTTCTTTTTTTTCCATCAGTCAAATTTTTTTCAGGTAAGAGTGAAAAATAAAATCTGTCCTCCTTGGAAAAGGTAAAAGGGAAAAGTTTATCGATTAATTATTTGAAATATGAATCAGTTTTTAAAATTTTTTAATTCTTTGCAGCTTATTGTTGGTTCAGAGAGTTTTGATATCCGTATTTTCAAGAATGATTTGTTACTTTATGAAATGACCGAAACGGATGCCGTAACCGGATTATGTGATTTGGGTGATGGCATTTTTGCATATGCCCTTATGAACGGTACATTAGGAGCTTACAACGGGAATACACGATTGTGGAGGATCAAAAGTAAGAGTCAAGCTGTAGCACTAATACAGTTTCCGGATCCGAAAGTTTTGGTATGCGCGTGGATTCACGGAAAGGTAAGTTAGCAGCTTAATTAATCAAAAATATTGCTAAAAAAAATTGAATTTATGCAATTCGGCAACGAACTATTTATGTAGTAATATTTATCCAGAAAATTATCAAAACAATAAAAATTGAAGAAAACAGGTTTTCTGGAAGTAGATTTCTTGAAAGCATCCGAATAATGAGAGAAATATTACAGGTCGATATGAGAGATCCAACAACAGGTGAAGTAAAATTGAAAGAATCAATTAATAGTCAAATTGCTACCACATTTATTACCGGTGATCAATTGGTTGTTGTTTCAACTGATGGAAATGGTTTGTTTATTTGATACTTTATTGATGATAGCGCAAAAGAAATCGTTCATTTTATGGATGATAGCGCAAAAAGACCGTTTACTTTATGGATGATAGCGCAAAAAGACCGTTCACATCAAAACGTGACCTTAAATGCGTCAATTAAATTACATATAATCAATCACTTTCACCGTACTGTTTTTCATAAAGACAATATTTAATTTATTATTAAATCGTTGAAAAAAGAAAAACAATCTTCCTATTCGATTACAATTATTAATTGTTTACGAAGTATTAAAAGTATTTATTTCACATTAAACTTTAACCTTTTTTCAGTTCATGGTTTTATAGCCGATAAGAAGCAAAATGGAACTAATAATGGAGAAAATTTGTTACATGAACTTAATCTAAAAAAGTACAATTTATTGGTAAGTATAACTTTTGAAATCAAACATTTGAAATTTTTCTGTAATTTTTTCTCTAAATTCTTTTTGATTGGTTTTGATGACTTGAAATAAGTG